ATATATATACATATATATATATACATTTTATTTTTAATTGTAGAAATATAAAGTAGAGTAATCATAATATACATCCCACTTATATGTACAATATTAAAATAACAAATTAAATTTTGATTATAGATATGTGACAGATTATAGATATGTGCTGTATTCAAATTATTGTAAATTGCGATCGTAGTGGCAAACAATGAAAACAATACGAATTATTTACTATTACTTGCTATAGCAAACTGCCGTCTATGTTATTTTTCATAAATCGATTAATTAATATTGATTCATATTCACAACCGGACGAGAATAATTAATCGACTACATGTTCTGTAAACCATTTGCAACTGGGCTTCAATCGAAAACAATTAAACACCGTTTTTATTTACATAAGCGTTAATTATTTACGTAAGCTAATTTATTTAAAGCCGTTACTTTATCGCGATTATTAACTGATAATTACATGTATAAATATAAGCGTATCTTATTGAATTTCATACAAATGTGCTCGCAACTTGATTAATTAAGCGCTTCATCATACAGTACAAAAACAATTTACGTGCACATGTGATACGAATCTCGTATACATATAACAACCAATTAACAACCAATATCTGTAACATTTCTAACTTCTCTGAAATCTCTGACAGCATCTACGAAATTCCGTATGACTTACGATGCAATACAAAATTATATTTTATTCTTATGTAAATAGAATTTCAATTTATTTAGAGAAAAAATAACATTATTGTTAAAAAAGATATGTATTACAGATTCTATTTAATAGTAGCTTTTAGTAATACTAATTAATTAACATACATAAGCTATAACATACATAACACGACATATTTAATAAGACTGCAACATTTTTCGACAAACATAAATTTTAACTCATAAAATTTGCGTGTCTCGCGATCTCTCTAAGAATCGAATTAAAAATGATTACGTACCAAGCGTTGCCTTTAATTCATATACTCAATGTGAAAGTTTAATGACTTGTTACGATATATCAAATAATTCAATATTGGCCAACGAGGCTACAGATATTAGTTAAGGAACCTATTAACAATAGTAGTATCACTTTGGAATCCGCATTCCTTTCGAACATTTATTCGCGTGCATGAATTGGCGTTTGTGTTCGCCGATTTTCATACTATATAGATTTGAATGGACAAAGACATTATACTGGTAGCGAACATTACGAAGAAATCTCTGAGATAAATATTATTTCTATTTTTATGATTTATATCTACATTTAACATGCAACAGGATTTTCGCTTTGGCTTATCACGTTTATTTATTACATATAGAATAATTTTTTTGTAATATGTATGTAATTGATGGATAAACTATGATTTAAGGAGAGGATCATCATATTCGTTATATTGTGCGTAGCGTTCTTCGTAAAATCATCCTTTATTTTTATTCTTAATCATTGTCAAGTACATTGTTCGATGATGCAACGGACTTACGATTTGTGGCTCCCTTAAGGTACACTTCATTATAAATTGCATTATAAGCTACTTCACACTCTGACTATGTTTTCGAATGATAAAATATGCATTTTATTCACGTTTGCGTCTTGAGCGACCGATAACGAAAATAGACAACCGACAAGTATTCTAGTAATCTAATTAGTTTTATTGATCATTCTATATTGTCCTTGGTCCACCTGAAGTCTAAAGCGGGTCCACCTGAAGTCTAATATTTAAAGAACAATAAGTAATTTATTAATAAGCATTGATAATGATAATCGTTACAGAAATTCACTTTAATACTGAAAGATAAAAAATTAATTACTTATTTTGAATATTAAAAGTACTGAACAATCATGGCTTTTAATATCAAATCAAAATAAATAGTTAATCACTAGTTAATAGTTAATCAATAGTTAATCACACGCTTTTATAAGAGAATACAGATTCCTAGAATTCATACATCAAATGAAAGATCCGCATAAAATTCTCAATCGAGGGAAACATATGGAACGAAATATTTCAATCGCGGATACCAAGTAAGATTAAGAAATAAACCAGAATTATGACAATGAAACAATTTATTAATCGCAAAAAATTAAATTCTCATTATAAATATTTCTTATGATTATGAACATATCGTTGATATATCAGAGATAATCAACGATTATTTGAGATTTACAACTAATATCTAATTGGCAAGAGTAAAGCACACTTTTGTACATGGTATCTATCGTGTATTCAACAAAGAACAATTGTTGATTGATCGACGATCTTAATTCCAATACGCAATGGACTTAAAATTTCAGTAAAATATCAGGTAAAAATACTTGTAGCGTGTATTACTACCAAAACAAATAAATAATACGAAATAATAAACGAACGTCTAATAAAGCGAACGTCTTCTTAGTAAAATAGTCATACAGTCGTTTGTTAGCGGATATATATTTTCAACAAACGATTCCCAACTGACTTTGTAACTAACTCTCCTTTTTCATTTTCTCCCACTCGTCTTTAGTCGATCATCGCAAATAATTTCTCGATTATACTTAACACTCACTATTATTTATTAGAGCACGAGCAATGTTGCAGTTAGCAAAAATACACACAATTTGCCATGAATATTTCGTTCTACGAGATTAATATTTTTATTTAATAGATGATCATTTTTTAATATAAACAATCAAGTTTAACTTTGTTTCGTCCATTATGATCGTTGATGCACGCCTGATGCTCAACACAAGTTTTTATAATGCACTTTTTATGCAGTTTTAATTGTTCACATTGTCCAATTTTATCAAGGATTAATATAAATTATCACTTGATCGTATTCTACTTTAATCACATCTACTCTTCAATTAAAGAAGAAAATTTACACGTATATAGATTATATTAAACTGGCAAGTTTCTTATGAGAAAAATGAATGGCAGTTCATTCTCATCGAAATCGAGCTTGTATTTAATATTATTTTTATCGTTACAAATTATCACTAAAAGTCTGGGTTTCATTATCATTGTGCTTTCTATGGCATCGATACAGTTCATCGTCAATCACTTCGCAAAGAAGAACGTCGAAATAAAAGTATTTATTTTAATATAAAGAGATGAGAATATCGTAGCATGTAATGTTTGTTTATATAATATATTTGAATGGTGTAATATATTTGAAATAAAGTTAATCATCATTAAATGTGACTATTTATGGAAAAAATATTTGCGTCATGTATCACATCCATTACTACTTAATTTAAAGAGAGCGAAATGTTATTGTATTAAATAAGTCTTTTTAGCAATTCTTTATAGTAATTTTTTCAGAAGAAGAGAAATCGATACAATATGAACTGACACGCACATTGAGAGTATTTCACATTACGTTATTTAAACTTAGTGCATTAACTTTAATTATAAATTCAATTACACATTTCAAAAGCAAACCTGTTATCAACCGACTAGGATCATATCTGCCAAACTCGAACTATTTTCTTCTTAATTTCTCTATTCTGTCAATTAAATTCAAAGAAATGAATCCCAGCAATTTCAGTCGCTTTGTTTATTTCAGAACAAGACCTACATACAATCAATCTAAATTGTTTACGGATCAGAAGCTATTGTTGGGCATTTTCTTCGCTACTTTAAGTTCGCTACTTTAATGGTTTTCATATAACACTTCCTGGCAGGAAATTAATGTTTTACCGTTAATGTTTTCGCTAAGAATCTTATAGGTCTAAAATCACACATTTACCGGCCGGACGTTATCATCCGATTGTTGTTGCTCCCCGCTTTGCCAACCAGAGTCTAGAGTTGTCGAATCGCTCAAACAACACTGTGGTGTTTCCTCCTCCTGATTGTTCCTGTAATCCCTATAATCCCTTTCACGCCCCCTTTCATTTTCCTCTTCCCGAAAGTAACTGGAACTCGGCGGACCTTCCTGCTCCTCGTCATTTTTCGATCCGTAATAGGAATAGCGACCTTGTTGAATCACTTCATATTGCGCATCAGGGGCGAGAAAAGGACCTCTCGCGCTTCTCGGTTCGTCGCTGTTCGCATAATTGTCACAAGGAATGTCGCCGTTGTCCGCAGGCAAAGGAAGAGGCAATCGAGATCTCTTCGATAGTTGACGCTTGCCTAGCCTAGTCGCCAGATAGTCTACGCTTTCCGGATGTTCTGCGCCTGCAAAAAAAATACAAGTATATCAAACACTTAAAAAAATGTTGT